AACCACATCTCTGTCTGCATCCCCCAGTAGCTGCACGAGCCTTTCATTCAGGCTCCAGATGCTCTTGGCCTGTGAGGAAGACAATGCTGTGCCGTGAAGCCACCAACGGCTGCACCAGCAATCCCGCTCCGGCGGGGCAGCCCCACGTGCTGCCGCGGGGCCCGGAGGCCAAAGGCCTGTCCCGAGGGACTTGGGCAGCTGAACGGGGAGGCAGCAGAGCTGGGAGCAGCTGCCACAGCTCCCGAAGGCCAGCCAAGCCCAAGCGACTGCCCCAGGATTCCAGCACGGCTTCAGCCAACTGCCCCTTCTCACCATCACGGGATCCTGGCTGAGTGCCACGAGGACTCGGAGCGCCAGTTGACGCCGCTTTGTGTTGGTGCTCCCCGTTTTCCTTGAAAGCATCTCCAGGACCCTGTCACCGCATTCCCTCGTGTCCAGGCAGTCCAGGACCTGAAAGGCACGGAGCAGTGACGGGGTGCCCGGCCGGCAGGAGCCCGGACCGGCACAGGGCTGGGCCCAGGCAGCAGTACAGGGCGCGGCACCATCCCGGGCAGCTGCGGCCACGAGAGGGCCGAGAGGTGGAGGCAGCTCGGCGAGGCAGCGTGAGGCAGCAGGCTCACCTCCACAAGGAATGCCATGGCAGGCAGGTCCCAGCACGGCTCCTCCCTGCTCAGCAGCTCCAGCAGGTGGAGCGTGATGCGGGAACGCAAGGGGCTGGAGACAGGCCCAGGATGGTGTCCCGGGCAGTGGTGTAAGACACAGGCACACTGAGCCAGCAATAATTCACCCTTGTGCTGCCAGTTCAGATCTACCTGAGACACTTTGATCTTGGCAGCTTGATCTACCTGAACATTATTGCAATGCTCCTCAGTAACCTGACTCTCAGGTACGTGTGCATCTACATGATGGTCTTTCACAGTCAACTTCTCTACTCGGGCAGTGATGTCTTGCCTCAGTTCAGCAGCCCAGATGGGTTTACAGCTGTGATGCCAATTGGTCTTTTTCCATCGGTCCAGCCACCCCCAGAGAGCGTTTGCTACCATCCACAAGTCAGTGTAGAGGTAGAGTGTTGGCCATTTCTCTTGTTTGGTGATCTCTAAAGCCAGTGGGATGGCTTTCGGCTCTGCAACCTGACTTGATCCCCCTTGTCTCTTGATAACTTCTGTGATTCACCATATAGAGCTCCATATGGCAGCTTTCCATTTCGAATGTGTCCCTACAATAGGGCAGGAACTGTTAGTAAAGTGAGCATATTGCTTTTCATTTTGGGGTAGCTGATTATATGGTGGGGCCTCCTCAGCATGTGTCATCTTCTCCTCTAATGATGATGATGATGATAGTCCAAAATTTTCACCTTTGGGCCAGTTTGTGATGACTTCCAAGATCCCTGGGCTGTTGGGATTTCCTATCCAAGCTTGCTGTGTGATTAGACTGATCCACTTACTCTACGTGGCATCAGTTGCATGATGTGTCGACGGGACTTTTCCTTTGAACATCCAGCCCAGCACTGGCAGTCAGGGTGCCAGGAGGAGCTGTGCTTTGGTGCCAATCACTTCTGAAGCAGCTTGAATCCCTTCATAAGCACGAGGTTGGTGTGGTATTGCTAACATTGCACTATTATGGTAGTGATCAGCAGTAGGTAGTGACCTGTTGTTCTTCGACCCCCAGCAGTCCAACAGCAGAAGGGTCCTCTGAGAGGCCAGGTGAGGTATTCACCTGTCTAATTTCCTGTCTTCACAGCAGTTATCCCAAAAGCCCAGTGATGACCTTTTGGGTCCTTGAAATACATGCTCCTGAGGTAATCTATGCCAAGGATGCACGGGCCTTCTGGGCCAGTCACAATGGGGTGTTTTTACTGTTCATTCCCAGTCAGGCTCACCTTCAGCTTCCAGTACAGTCAGCCACTGGGATCCCCGTCACCTCAGAAATAGAGATGGATTCTGACCCTACATATCTTGATGGCATCAGGGTACATTGTGCACCAATGTCAGCTATAGCCTTATACTCCTGTGGATCTGATGTGCCAGGCCATTGGATCCACACAGTCCAGTAGATCTGGTTGTCCCTTTCCCCCACCTGGCTGTAGGCAGGGCCCCTTTAGTCCTTGTCATAGTATTCGTTGCTCACTTCTTTTAACTATGAACTGGAGGTCCCTTCAAGAGGATCAGAAGTGTCTGAGCTGATCCTCAAGGATATGATTCTGTGTTCATTGTCTGGGCTCAGTTCCCACTGAACATTTTAAATTTGGGATGGTTTAGTGCCGTGTGCATTTAATGATTTTGCAGGTACCCATCGCCATCTGGTGGAAGCGTTGAAAGACGACACTGGGAGGGTGAAAGCCGAGAACAGTTTTTTGTCCTGGTGACTTTTGCGTGTGTTCTGTTGGTGGAGATGTCCATTTTGGGATCATGGTTACGCAACAGTGAAGCTACATATACTTGCACTTTATGGGCATTTTACTGTATGCTATAGAAAGGGAAAGTGCAGCTTGGGCTCTTTCTTTTGGAGCTGGAGTCTGAGAGAGTGAAAGAACGTGATGGTATGTGCAGCTGAGACGAAAAGCACACAGCACCAGTGTGTTTGGTGCAGTTTGGGAGGTGAGAGTTGAAGTGGTGCCAGCAGCAGCTTTCTCACCTGAGGCCTTTTGTGAGTGAGTTTTTTGCAGCATGTTTTCAGTTTTGGAGCTGGGCTCTGCAATAGTGAAAGAAGGAGATAGTACATACAATTGAGAAGGAATAAAAAAGACAGTGTTGGGCATCACCTTCCCCCTGGAGCCCGTAAACTGCACAAAACACATTGGTGCCATGCTTTTTCCTTTTTAGAAAGTGCGGCCTCACTTTTTTGCTCTCTTGCCAAGCCCAGCTTTTAATCCAGCCACAAAAGGTGATGTCAATCCCTTGGTTTTGGGAAGGCAAGAACCTAGTCCCAGTTTAGGTGGTTCAAATAATACACTGCCCGAGAAGTTAGGCAAAGGCCAGCAACAGCTTTATGTCCTGTCACCTTTCTTGTGGGAGCAATCCCTGGATGCATTCCAATTTTGAGTTAGAATCCCAATTTCAGAGATAGACTACAGCAAATTCTGACAGTACTTCAGTTTTGACATGGAAAGCACCTAGTGCCTGCGTTGCTGGTGCAGATGACAGGGTGGCCGGCGGAGGTAAAGGCCAAGAACAGCTTTCTCTCTCCTGGCACCTTTTGTGTGGGACCAATCTCTGAATGTATTTAGTTTCAGACCCTGGATCAAATTATACAGCTGGCTCTCCTGAAGTGTATGGCAACACATTTATTTTGGCAAGACAAGCAGGAGTGCTGGAGGTGGAAGTGATAGGCTGTCAAGAGGAGGTAAAGGCCAACAATAGCTTTCTGTCATGGTAACTTTTGTGTGACAGCCATCCCCGGACATATTCAAATTTTGGATCTGGAATCCAATTTTTTGCAAGTGGCTCATGAAAGTGGATGACAGTGCCTTTCCTTGGTAAAGGCAAGCACCTAGTTCCAGTGTTAGTGGTGCAAATGACAGCATGCCCAGAAGAGGTAATAGCCACAAACACAGGGGCTAAGTGCTTACCAAAATAAATGTACTGCCATTCTTTTCTGAAGCTCAGCTCTGAAATTTGGATCTGGGCTTTTAAACTGATTACATCCAGTGTTTGCTCAAGCACAAAAAGAGGCACCACAGAAAGCTGCTGTTGGCCTTTATCTCCTCTGGGCACTCTGTCATCTGAACCATGAAACACGGAAGCTGACTGCTTTCCTTTCCAAAATACATGTGTTTCCATAATTTTCAGGAGCCCACCTCAGAAATTTGGATAATACCTCCAAAACTGAATACATCTGGAAATTCACATACTTTCACAATCACATAGATTTTGTACCTAAACTAAAAATAAACTAAAAATATCCAGCAAAAGTCTTCGTCACGATAGGTGCCAGCTGAGAAAGTTCTTGCTATCTCTGCATTTGTCTCATACTCCTGGAATTACAATACATACCCTGGAGCTTTGCACTTTCCTTCTCAGTTGCATGTAGCATCACATTCTCTCTGTCTCACAGAGCTCAACTTGAAAACTTAAAACTTCTATCAACTGCTCCCACAAAAAATGTCCTATTACAAAAAAGACAGTGCTGGGCATCACCTTCCCCCTGCAGCCTTTAAACTGCACAACACTGGTGCCATGATTCTTTCTTTTCTGTTCTATGCACCCTCACATTTTTGCTCTCTTGCAAAGCCCAGCACTGTGATTTTAGCAGGGCCACAAAATGTGTTAGGAGAGAAAAGTTACTGGATTTCACATTCACAGTGACATTCACAGCAACTGCACCATACACAGTGAGGCAATCAACTTTCCTTTCCATGTCCTATCACATTCTTTCACACTCCTAGGGATCCTGTACCTAAACTGAAAATATCCAGCAAAAAAATCTCAGTCACAACAGATGTTGCCTGAGAAAGCTCTTGCTAGCTCAACCTTTAGCTTGTACCCCTTGAATTACACCACACACCCTGGAGCTGTGAGCTTTCCCTTTCAGTTCCCTGTGCCATCATATTCTTTCAGTCTTGCAGAGCCCTGCTTCCAAACTTAAAACAGCCAGCAACTGCTTACATACATATGATCTTAGAACAAAAATTCAGCACTGGTCCTCACCTTCCCTTTGCAGCCTGTAAACTGCACCAGACACAGGTCTTCGCTCTTTCCTTTTAGATGTACGTACCCTCAAATTCTTCCACTCTTGCAAAATCTATATCCAAAACATAAAAAAATTCAGTGGCTGCTCCCACAGAAAAGGTCCTAGAAGAAAGAGCTAGTGCTGGACTACACCTTTTTTTGCACCCTATAAACTGCACCACTGTCAACACTGAGACTATTCGCTTTCCTTTCTTTTACTCTCACAGAGTCAGGATCCAAAACCGAAGCCCTCCACAAAATGCTCTCCCACTGAAGGTGCCCGGACAAACAGATGTTGGTTTTTACCTTCCCACTGTCACCATTCAGAACTCTACCATATGGTGCTGTGTACTTGCTAAACAATTAAATGGACCTCGACACTATCCAAGAACGCAGTGCGCAGATCCGAAGTTGAAAATTTCTAGACATGACTGGCAAACAAAATGTGCCAGAACAAAAAGAAATACATTCATTTTGGAAGGCAAGCGGCTATCCCCATTGTCTGTGGCGCAGATAATAGGTCACTGAGGAGAGGTAAAGGCCAGCAACAGCTTTCTTTCATAGCACTTTTTGTGAGGGAGCAATCCACTTTCAGGAGCCCATCACCAAAATTTGGATATTGCCTCCAGTATTGAATATGTCCACCAGGGATTGCTCTAACACAAAAGTTCTCAGGAAAGAAAGCTATTGCTGGTTTTTGCCTCCCGGCAGCAGCAGCAGCACCACCAATGGGGCTAGATGCTTTCCTTAACAAATAAAGGCACTGTCATTGTCTTTCTGGATCCCACCTCCAGTATTTGGATACAGTTCCAAAACTGGATATGCCCAGAGATCTCTGTCAGACAAAACTTTCCAGGACAGAAAGCTCTTACTGCCCTATACGTCCCTAGGAAACCCTGTCATCTGCACTACCAACACCGGGTTTGGCTCTTTTCTTCCTCAGGAAAGATAATGTTATCCTTTTTTTTTTTTCCAGGGGGCTGATTCCAAATTTCAGTGGTGGGCTCCTGAAGGAAAATGGCAGGGCATTAACACGGGAATGAAAAGCACCTCATTCCAGTGTTCCAGGTGCA